TTTCTTTGTTGAGTATGTATGTGCTTTGGGTATCAGGTTAACTGTGTCCTTACAAAATGAATTGGGCAATTCTTCTCTCTCCATCTGTCTGTCTCCTTTGGTTTTGCTGGTGTGAGAATATTTATTTCTTGTGTTTTCATAGATGTATTAAACCTCCTAAGGTTGGAGTTTTTTTTCTAGCACTTTCTATAAAGCTGGATTTGTAGATAGATTTTAAATTTGAATTTATCATGAAACATTTCATTTTCTCCATATACAGTGATTGAAAGTTATGCTGGGTATAGTTGTCTGTGATGATGTTCCTGGTCTCTTTGAATCTGTAAGACATCTGTCCAGGCCCTTCTAGCTTTTAGCGTCTCCATGAGGAAGTCGGGTATAATTCTAATAGGTCTTCCTTTATACATTACTTGAGCTTATTCACTTGCATCTTTTCCTGGTCTTTGTTCTGAATGTTTAGTGTCTTGGTTATAATGTGGTGAGGTCCTTTTCTGGTCCAATATATTTGCTGTTGTGTATGTTTATTGTACTTTATAGACATCTCCTCCTTTAGGTTAGGAAATGTCTTCTATGATTTTATTAAAAATATTTTCTGTGCCTTTGATCTGAGATTCTTCTCCTTCCTCTCATCTTATTATTCATAGGTTTGGTCTTTTCATAGCACCCCAGATTTCCTGGATGTTTTGTGTCATGGAATTTTTAGATTTCACATTTTCTTTGACTGACATATCCACTTCTTATCTCCTGTCTTCAGTGCCTGAGATGTTCTCTTCCATCTCTTGTATTCTGTTGGTAAAGCTTGTCTCTGTAGTTCCTGCTCACATTCCTGCATTTTTTCATTTCCAGGATTCCATTTGTTTGTGTTTTTTTATTGCTTCTATTTCATTTTTAGGTCTTGGACAGCTTTATTTGTTTCCTTCAGCTGTTTTTGTTTCTAGTTTTCTTTAAGAGATTTATTCATTTACTCCAATTTTGTTTGTGTTTCCCTGAAGGTCTTTAAGGGATTCATTCATTTCCTCTTTACAGTCTTCTATCACCTTCCTAAAGTTGTTCTCTAAAGGTCTTTTTCTTGTGCTTTAGCTTTGTTGGACTTCAGGGCCTACTGTGTTAGGATAGCTGGACTTAGTGGGGACTTATTGTCCTGACTGGTGTTTTTGTTTATTTGTTTGTTTGTTTTGAGACAGAGTTTCTCTGTGTAGTTTTGGTGCCTGTCCTGGATCTTGCTCTGTAGACCAGGCTGGCCTCAAACACAGAGATGCGTCTGGCTCTGCCTCCTGAGAGCTGGGATTAAAGTTGAGTGCCACCATCACCTGGCTAGTGTGTTCTTACACTAGTGTGTAAGCAACTAGGTTTAGGGTGATTATAGGTCTAGGTGCTGATTTCTGGGTTGTCTTAGTTGGGTGTGTGTTTTGTTCCTTAGTTTCTATTTTCCTCTGTATTTTTGGAGAGTGTGATCGCTGTGTGTTGCCCCTTCTCCTGGCCTGCTCAGTGGTTATCTTCACAGGGAAGACCTGCTGGTGTTGAAGGCTGGGATAATGGGATGAGTTGGGGGAAGGAAATTTGTTGGAGGAGGTCCTTAGGGATGGGTCAGAGAGGAAAGGGAGAAGACCACAGTAGGTTTCCTTCCATGGGGCTTAGGAAAGGGAGAAGACCACAGTAGGTTTCCTTCCATGTGGGGCTTAGGATAAAAGTGGGGGGATAGGATCTCAGGAGTACTAGGAGACGTGTGGGTCTGCCTTCAGCCTAGTTATTGCTCTGGGAGGAGATGCCCTTGGGTTAGCAGGGGACACTTTCTGGGTGATGTCTGTTATAAAGCAGCGAGTGGGCAGAGGTGGTTAGAAGGGGGAAGATGATCTCTGGGATCCATGGGATTTGTGAAGGGGCCTGCCAAGCATGTTTTGCTGTAGAGCTGGTTATGAGACTGGGGACTGGAAATGGGGGAAGAGAGAGAGAGAGAGAGAGAGAGAGAGAGAGAGAGGAGAATGTGTATTGCAGTCTACTTGATTTTCTGGCAGGCATGGCTTGTGGTTTAATTTGGGGCTATCTGCTGGGTTTGGGGGCTGTTACCCATTTCTGTTAGGCCTATGTCTTCCCAAGGAATGACTTTTGTTTTCTTAAACAGCCATTTTGACTAGAGTAAGATGAAATTCCAGAGTGGTTTTAATTTGAATTTCTGTATGGCTAACGATGGTGAATAATTTGGAAAATATATCTTAAGCAAGTATATTTCTTCTCCTGAGAACTTATTTTTGTATTGTCAGTCAGTTGTATATACACTTGGTTATGTAGTTAGATGGTCAAGGGAATTTACTGAGAGCATCCACATACTACAGAAGCCTTGGTTCCCAGCATCTTCCCTGGTCCTCCCCTCCCATCTTCCATGTTGTCAGATTTGATGTCTGCCTGTGTCCTTCCAGAAAAATCCAACTCTTCTAGTAGATTCTGCATTTGGGCTCAGTGTTTTCTGGGTGCATCTCACTGTTTTCTCTGAAACACTGGCCACAAATATCTTACATAGGATTTGGTTTCAGCAGGAAACAGCATCACACCTACCCACAACATCTTTGAGAATTTAAAGCCACTACAGGAAGTATATGGAGGAAGCATTGCCTAGCCCAGAGCTTTGGTATAGAATTGAGTTGTCAGAGACAAGTCTTGAGCAAGAGCATATCCTCTTTCTGTTTTGTACTGGATGTCTTCATCCTCGACAGGGGTTCCGGGTTGCAGTCTGGTCTATCCCATGGGTGTGTCCTGCTGTGCAGACTGTATCACCAGTTCTGTTTGCTGTTTATGTGGAGATCTGGCATGAGACTCTGCCATGGGCCTTAGAGCTGCTCTTCTTGGACTTGGTAAGTGAGACAGGTGTCATTATTTTTAGTCACAGTGGTAATGAATACAGAATTCCAGATTTTTAACCTAGGATCTTCTCATAGAAATTTCTCTATGAAGACCTGGCCTGTGCATCAGAAGAGTCTTCCATGGCCTCAGCCTGTTTATCTGGTCTTGGTCTTTTGACCTGAGCTCTGGGTCAGGATCAGTGTATAACAGGACAGACTTCTCTTATCAGATCTTTTGTTTTATTTTCAGGGTTTTTAATGGCACAGAAGATTTGGGCACAATATGGTGAGTCTATTGTCTGTTTTAGTCATGGGAAACTGAGTTTGGCTGGGAATAAAATGGGAGGAGCTTGAAGCCTCTTGAGCAGATTCTGAGATGGGATTTTCATTGGCAGCCACTGGCACACTTACTTAATGATTCGTCCTTACTATTGCAGCCATCTTTGGGGTGGGGATTCTTGACTGTGCTACAGTAATGTTGACATGAGGTCTGACTCAACGGGTATGGAAACAAAGGGCACAGAGGAGAT